AAGGCTTCAAGTAGAGCTATCGTACCGGGGAATCCGAATAGCACGTAGAAGGCATAAAGCGTACTGGCGAGACGGTAGGGGCGAGGATATGCCGTGTCAAAGTACACCTTCTCCCCACCGGTGCGCGGCATCAGACACCCCAGTTCCAAATATATGTAAAATCCGCAAAAGGTGAGGATAATCCCCACCACCCATATTGAAAGTGCCGCGCCGACGCTGCCGACGCTGAGGAAGATGGAAGACGGTACGGAGAAGATGGCGGCGCCGATCATGCGGTTGGTCCTGCGTCGCACTCAGTTTCCGAGATCAACAGCAGAATGGAAGGAACTATGTATCCCCTACAGGAGTAGGGCCGTTGAGAATAGGCCGAGGTGGCGCTTATTGTTCGGGTCTTTGTTGTCGTTGTCTTCCAATTCATCTGGTCTTGCCCACAGGGGCTGGCGCTCCGAAGCGCTCGCGCCACTCGCCCGCCGAGATCGCATTGCTGTGTGGTAAGCGCAAGGAGTAATGTGGAAACAGAACAAAAACAGGCGATAAGAAAGGTGAAATGAAGGATATTATAGTTTTCTGTTTCGTGGGGAAAGGGAAACGAGCCAGGATCTGCTAGTAGGGAAACGAAAATGGCCGAATTGCGGTTTTGACCTTCTAGATTGGCCTGCTCTCCTCATCCACCCGGTGTACCTGCGCTTTTGCGCTCTCTAGGAGGGGTCAGTTGGAGCTCCAATATCTAAAACTCAGTCAATTGGCTGTGCAGAAGCGACGATGCCACATTATGGAGTCTGCCATGGCTACTAAGTGGATCCAGAGTACCAATCGGAGCTTGCAGGGGCTTTGCGATTGGGGAAGATAAAAAGCCTGTTAACTGAATCTTATCTGATCGCGAATCATTGCGGGCGAGGGGAAACGGGCGTGATTGAGGTGTGGTAGATATACTGTCCTGACCTGGATATCATGTTCTCTCATAGAATGCTTTCAAGGTCCAAAGTCTGCATGACTTGCAGCTGTGTATTTGGCTGACAAGTGCTTGTCACCGGCATCAAAGATAGACGTCCAACTTTCTCTATGGCAAATACACAAAGAAAGGTCCCTTGCCGAGTCTGGATTACTCTGTCAGCCATCGTCGGTAATGGAACGTCCCAGGGATCGATCCAGATCACCTCTAACGTCGAGTGGGCCGGCAGGGCACGCATCCTACAAGCTGTATGAGGCTTTTAGTGCTGCGGACATAACCGGCAACGAATACGAGAAGTGCCCACCCAAACGGCAGCTGACGTCAAATACCGTCTCATGGTGGTGAAAGAGACATAAATCGTGCTTGTCGCATGCAAAATTCATCCCTCTTGAGAAGAGGTGAGCTGGCGGCCGAACGTGCCTCGTAAAAGGCCTTCAAGATACCCAAAGCCTTACGTACCCCCGTTTTTCTCATTCGGATCGAGCTCAAGAGATATCATACAATGACTGATACACAGGTAGTTGCGAAGTGGTAAATGAAAATGCGACTCTTGAGTACAATCGACTGAATGCTTGCCACCTTGAATTCTCCATATCCCTGAGGGTGATTGATCAGTGTCTCGAGCAGCTACGACAGCGAACTGATCAACCCTTGAGGATTTTGGATTTAGGCGGGGGAACAGGCCGATACGGTATGTCAATGCTGTTCTTTAGGCTTAATCTTCTCAAAGCCATCCAATGCATCCCATGCCCGTTGTGTGTGTGAAAAGGTGAAGCTACCGTAAGACGGCCGGTGCTGACCAGATGCTGCTCTGCAGCCGTCGAACTGGCACGACAAGGCCATTCAGTCACACTGGTTTATATCTCCCGGTCGGAGCTTGAGCTAGCCAAGTCCTTCCCATGGAGTCTGGTGACGAACCATTCAGGTGTATCCAAAGGAAAGAAGTCCACAAACCGTCTTCACAACATCCACCTATGACTTAATTCTCTGCCAGGGCCCAATGCATCACCTCCTTGAGGAATCCGAACGTACACGGGTCCTCTGTGCTTGCGCTTCTATGCTTCGTGCCAACGGCATTGTCGTGGTCGCATTTGTCATGCAATGCGCGCATTTGAGGGATATCGCCCAACGTGATCCAGATCGCCTCGCGGTGGAGTTCGATATTTTTTATCGCGAGTATCTTTCTTCAGGGAGATACACACGGAATCCTTCCGTCGCTTCGTACCATACCAATGTGGACGATATAAGGAGATTGTTTTCGGAAGGCTGATGGGATACTGAGGACTCAGGATAGTGTCGAGCTTGCTTTGGCCCGCGTTGTACCTTGCGAAGGGTTTTTTGGGGGATGATTGGCCGGGAAGCTGGGCGATCTACCACCGGACGTATACGAGCGTTGTGATGTAGTTTGTTGAGGCAACGCGGATCACTTGTTGGCCATTGCAGAGGCACGGGGCTAGGGTGCCTTGGAGATCATACACTGGAGGCCGCCAGTCCTGGTTTGCACATTGCAGTGCTTACACAGTAGAGGCACATCAAATGAAGAGACTTGAAGCTGGCTGTCAGTCTGTTGACAGCAATTCATAGTTATGCTCGTTAGTTATGCAATATGGATGACTAAGGGCATAATTCAAGTTATGCACCACGAGGTCTCTTGTGCCCCTCGTCGAGCCTCTCAGGGTGTCTTTGAAGATACTCCGTCCTGAAGATCTACGATTACAATGCACCAAAAGTCCAGCGCCATAGGACACTGATCTGAGGCTCTTTCGCCTGGACTGGACAAGCAGATGTCATCCTCAGAGAAGGGTTCAAGTGGCACGGTCCGTATACGGAGTACGGACCGTGTTTCTCCACCGCAGAGTGGCCAATCTTCTTGGCTTTCTGTGGCTCTTCTTTCGTTAACTTGAGATCCGATCTAGGATCCATGGACGAATCCGGCACTTGCCCCTCACTGTGTTCGGCGCACGGTCCGTGATGCACGGAAATATCACGCTGGAGTCCGGGAGCCACATCGTATAAAAGAAATTGAATCACGTTCTTTCTTGATGTCCAAACTACAGACACTGATCCGGAACTGTGATCAGACGGCAATTTCCTAACACCCGCACACGCAATGGCAGCTAAGAATGAACGCATTGTCGTTATTGGAGCGGGCATCTTTGGCCTGGGAACTGCCCTGAGGCTGAAGGAGGAAGGTTATCGCTTTGTGACCGTCCTCGATCGAGCGATGCCCCCTGTTCCCGATGGATCCAGTAACGACATTTCTCGCGTGATTCGATTCGATTACGGCGATGAGGTATACGCTCGCATGGGTAAGGAGGCTTTCGACCTATGGAAAACACCCGAATATAAAGAGGCCTTCCATCAATCCGGATGTCTTTGGGTGACTCAGAACGAGACCCCCGGACAGCCTATACAGCCCGCCGCTGAGGAGTACAGTCGCAAAACCAGAGAGATTCTGACCAAGATGGGCGAGCCCTGGCACTCCGTTCCCACGGTGGAAGATTGCAAGCGTGAATTCCCTGAGCTTACCGGCCCGCTGGGCAACCCAGGCTTCTACTCCTTTTTCAACAACTCGGGCGGATGGGCAGATGCAGGTCTCGCATCCGCTCGCGTGGCAGCTCGGTGTATCGCGGCAGGTGTATCATTTATCAGTGGCCCCGATGGCCAAGTGACAGATTTTGAGAAGAAGGCGGACGGCACCATCGAAGCGGTCCGCACGAGCAGTGGCAACCGGATCACAGGTGACAAGTTCATCGTCGCAACTGGTGCCTGGACCGCCAGTCTGGTTCCCTCCTGGAACACCATGGTCGCGGCCGCTCAGATCGTTGGATACATGCGGCTCACCCCCGAGGAGATGATCCGGTTGAGGAACATGCCCGTCTACTTTAACCTCTCCACCGGATTCTTCTGCTTCCCTCCCCATGACGGAACGAACATCCTCAAGGTCGCCGTCCACAGCTACGGCTACACCCACTCGCAAGACGGCATTTCTGCGCCCCCGGCTGCCCCGCCATCTGCCCGCGCCAACTTCATCCCAGATGAAGCCGTCGAGCGTCTGAACCTCGGTATGAAGGATCTCTTCCCAGACCTAGAGCCCAAGGGCTGGGAGCGGGTAGCGCTATGCTGGTACAATGACACCCCGACCGGCGATTTCATCATGGATTATCACCCAGAGCACAAGAACATGTTCATCGCCACGGGTGGTAGCGGACAGTAAGTACCCAGAACCTAGAAAGCACGTCTGATACCAGAACAACCGGTCTAACCTTGGTCACAGTGCCTTTAAATTCTTGCCCGTAATCGGAAAGTACGTCGTTGGATGCTTCGAAAAGAAGCTCTCGCAAGCTTTGTTGCAGAAATGGAAGTTCCCCACCGAGTACAAAGAGCGCTTCCAGGGCGACGTATTCAAAGGGGACGGAAGTCGAGGAGGCCCTGAGAGGAGAGAGTTGACTCCTCAGGAACGGGAGAGATTTGCTGGCGCGTTGACCGCCGCTTCGACAAGGCAGAGCAAGATCTAAAGGGACGCTGATTTTATTTTTCTGGAAACACATATACCCGATGAAGAGCAAACTGTAATGTGAGACGAATTTTGTTACTTTCGACGAGAGATTTTCGGTTGTGGACGCGTGCCGGCTACAACGACATTAGACTGTTTGATCTGTACGCTTTTGTTTTCACAAGAAGCATGCATATATTTTCTTAAATCAATTCCTTTTGTTTAATTTTCCGATCGTGTTAAGTTCATCATAAGTCATTCATATGTCTGATCATGATCATGATATCATACGCGAGCATGGTTAGTATCCATCGTTTCCTCCTCTGCAGGAGCCTCACAGTTGCTCCGCGACGTAATCCCCAAACATCATCCAGTCGGGCAGGTCGGGGATGGCCGCGTCGAATCCACTATTACCCGGTCTTTCCGCAAAGGGCCACTCTGATATAGGATCGGTGCCTACCGGTCCCGGAGCCCGCCCGCTGAGAGATTCTATCCCTTGCCCGGCGCTTGCCCAGTTGCCACCAGGGAAGGATCTGGGAAATTCGGACTGACTGTTTCCATCCGCTGATACGGTGACGGGACCAAGTCCCCGAGCTGGACGATCTCAGCAGGGGTGAACGACGAACTGAAGTCGAGAATATTCCACATCAGAGCTTCGTCCGCCTCTGACATTCTTGGTATAGTGGACGGCGTGGGCATGCGGGTTAGCTCCCCGGAGAAAGTATCCTGGCTATAATATAGCGACTTGTAGTTTTTCTGTCTCGCAGCCAGTTTGTTGACCCGGTTGACCTGCACCAGCCCCATTAGCAGACATCACACATCGAGTCGGGCCGAACATACTAAGACACCCATGTTTTCCCAATGCGCCGACAAGTCTGTCATATAATCAACCAACGTTCGAAAATCGCTGTTCCCCAGCTGGGCGATGTGTGGGTTTTTGCTGGCCGTATTCTCGAGCTGAATGGTGGCGGCGATTGCACAGAGATAACCGATAAACGGGTCGTACAGCCGGATGTCAACCTCCTCCATTTCTCGGATGAACCGCGCAATCCACCTCGAATGAATAAGGGAGCTCTCATACGACTTCTGCAGGAAGGTGGCGGGTATGTTTCCGTCGATGTGGCGGAGCTTAACCATGTTGACGAAGGGATGGTGCAGCAGACATTGAACGGAATGGAAGAGAAATTGCACACACAGCCAGCTGCACAGGTACGAGCGACAATGCGGTTCTTCACGAGCGCGTCGTCGGAAGTCGACACTTCGATAGCGATGTGTATCGGCAAAATGAGTCTCGAACTGCATCCAGTCGGACTCCAGACCGGCCAGCGCCGATCCTGATCGCCAGGGGGGTAACGCATCTTTGTCGAAGGGCTCAAAGACATAATCAGTGGTTTTGCCCCAAATGGAGTAAAGCCGAAGAAGACAGGCTAGAATGCCGTGGTCAAGCTTTTCTCCTTGCTTTTCGGGCCCGTCGTGTAGTGTTCCACGAGCCAGTGATTCCTCACCAGAGAGCGAGGCTGGCGTATCCGGTGTAGGAAAAAGAATGGTGAAATGTTTGTCTGAAAGGCACAATGAATAGTCTCGCGATGCATTGTAACTGCGGTCCAGCATAAAAAAGGCCCAGGTAATGCGTCTTCTTTCTTCCGCTTCTGAGTTTGTGAGGGACGACGTATACTTATCTTTGTTCAGGCCGGCAGATTGAATCGTCCGGAGCCCCAGTGCAACAGATGAATACCCTCGATGGGATTGGCCGTCGGCGAAGTCCACCTGAGCCATAAGGAATGTTCCCTGTAAAAATGAAAGACCCAGTTTACCGCTCTTGTACTGGTATGACAAGATATCCCAGGCCTTGTCGGCATAGTGCTTTGTAGGAAGCACGCCGCTTCCAGTAGGCCCCGGCGAGCGGCGTGAGATCCGAGAAGTAAGAGCCACTAATGGGAATGCGACTTCCGGAGGTAATGACAGATCTCGGCTCAAAAGCCAGTCCTTGGAGAAAACACAGTAGGGCTGGTCATGGAAATGGGCCAGATAAATCTCTACCTCAGATTTGACAAAATCAGGTGGCAGCGAGGTCCTTATCGGTGTGAGTCCGTCAGGTTGGCGTGGGAGCGGAGGAAACACAGGACACGTACCCCACAGAATAACGACGTTCCGTATTTTGGAAATTCAAGGCTACGGGAGAATTGCCCATGCTGCGGTGGCCATAGCCATGGGAGGGAAGTGAATTTCCGCTCGCCACTCCAGTCAACGGATTGTTCTTCAGCAAGCATTCCCTGAGAGAAAGTGGGGTGAAAAATTAGAAACCATTAACGTTTAGGGGCGCAAATCCAAGAAACAACTAGCGTTCGTACTGGAGAATGCTTGCCATCTTATCCAATCTCTCTTCAATGCGCTCGAATCGTTGCGAGCTCGACAGGTTGGCCTGGTCGATCGCGCAAGAAATCGTCAACCCATGGGAATATCCAGCGATTGCAAAGAATCAATCAAATCATGGTAGCACCTACATCTCCGGGCTCTCCCAAACCGCGTTCCTGCCCATGAGCAGGAGAAGCTCTAGTGGTGGCAGCACGACTCGGGGCAGCCTGCGGCCCGTATGAGCAGCGCTGGCCGAGCCTTTCGCAGAGCGAACATGTCGGCTTTTCTCCCGGGCAGCGCGCCTTCTTCCGACTGCAAGGTACCAAGCCGTCAGCATTCTATTTCCCGCCCTCGAAGCTTGTTTCTCCATGTATCTCTGATGAAATGGGGATGGTTGTGCGTCCTTCCGCCAATTGACATTGTACCTACCGACAAGGACCACAGGCCTGCCGTGTACGTTTCAAGGAGACTTTGTGTATCGTATAGTTATCATTCGGAGCACTCATAGTCTTCAATTCCGGGGAACAGATTTCTGGCCGTGGTGGAGGGTAATGATATCGGATCAAAATGACGATCGAGGTGGTTGGCGCCATTCCTTTTTCGGCATAATCCGTTGCCGTCCACGTGAGGGAATTCTCTCCTCAGGCATCAATTCTGCTTGGGTCCGCCGGGATTTACATCCAGGAGGTACAGCAGTGGGTACACGATAGGTTAACCCGGATGGAGGGCGTGGTTTTCTTATACATCCTTATTCACAGTATACCTGAGCTTACAGCTGTTCCAGTAGTCATGTTGAAGGGCTACGATCCAGTTCTATCATGATCATGCGCAGAGTTTTCGTTCCTTGTAGGTAAATATATATGCGCAGCGTCCGCTTTTCAACGCGTCTCCAGGATCCACACTCCATTTATAATGGTATTATCAGCTTTGAGAATTGAGACATGATGCGAACACGCGTTTCCCAAGCAACCCAGGTCTTCTATGTGAAGGTCCAATTTTCCCAATATCTACGTCGGCTCATCGAAGTAGGAAGCCAGAACTCGTATATACTAAGAAAGAAACCTCAGCTCTACTGTATATTATATACTCCTAAAACACCGTTTCCATCTATTCAGAGTTTACCATCGCAGCCGATCTCCGGATCTTCACTAAACATATGCGCTCTAGCCTCTGAGAATATTTTGAGAGCACTCTCCCGACCCTCAAGAGGGATTTGCATGGATTCCATACACTTGTCGAGAACAGGAACCTAGAGATGAAGCTGATTAGTGAAATAGAGATGAGAACTCAGACTGAAATAAAATCACCTGCTCATTGAAGCATTCCTTCATGCCTGCTGTTCTATCGTCGCGGGGTTGATCTGTGTACTCGACAAGACAACCGCTAATCTGTTTCTCGAAGCCCGTAATGCAAGATTCCGCGGATGGTAGGATAGATTTAACATCGGATACAGCATCTTTCATGAAAGATGATATACAATTAACATAGTCTTGACCACGCCTCTCAATTCCTGGCAGGGTAACTCTTCTGTTGGAGCCTGCGAAGGCCAGGCTGGTAGTTGTGAGAAACCAAAAAAGCTGAATCTTCATCTTGACGACCTATAAGAGTTATGAGGACAATAGAGACTTTTGAAGGAAGCAGGTAGAACGCACCTTGGTGAACTCAATCCTGTGGAATGCCTTATTAAAAGTAGGTGAAGCGTAAGCAATTGCAGAGGCAGCTAGGACAAGGAAGATGAGTCTTTTTATACTCGAATAGGGAGATTCTTTACACGGAGTCATTGACCACTTGGCTGAATAACATAGTAGATCTGCAATATCTATTGAAATGCTTATACAATAGTACCTCTGTGTATTATGAAACGAGATATCACTTTCCTTAGCAGTGGCGTACTTTATTGGCCACAAACTTCGGTGCAACACCAGATCAACCACTATTGGAACGACTAGTTGAATAGTTTAATCCTTGGCGGTAGATGAGCCGGCAATTTATAGATCCAACTTTCGATTCGGCTTCCACTGCTGATATTCAGTCTTGCTGTGATCAACCTAAAAATTACCTCTATAACACGCCCTGGACTCTTTTCTTTAGTTTGGTGGCCAGCTGAACTGTACGAGGGTGTCATCTGGGAAGAAGTACGTACTCGGTCCGTTTAGATTCGAGACAGAGGTAATAAAACGAGGATCTGTAATAAAATACGCCGATACGAGACGATCCCGAAGCATGGCTGCTTAACTCATCTTGCCATTGGAGTACAATGGAAGTGGCCAAGACTGTCCTCTGTATAATCATCAGATAACTCCTAAATAGTAGGAATAATAATATTGATAATCCCCATGGAACGCTCGATAACTAAAATAATACAGTCAGCCAATGCCTGTTCATTGAGATAGGAGCTAGCCGATTTGCTTAGCGTACAATGTGATTTTCTGGGTCCCAAGTAGTTTAAATTGCTTGAATACACTCACTCTGTCCATGTGAAAGTGGAAAAAGGCTTAGTTCAAGGAAGAATTATACATGGAACCGATAAGCGCCATCATTCATGATGAGCACTCACTAGATGAGGAGTGAAGCAATGTACAGGGCTTGAGACATTCATGAGAAGTACATCAAAGATAGATCTAAAAGTACGACAACATCTTTGGAACGATGCGTTTTACTTAATCCTTGATCTTGATGGATCGTAGCTCTTTTTCCGGTTACTCCTCCTTAATCGTGTAGTACTCTGTAGTAATAATAAATTAAGGGAGTTTGAGAAAGTAAAATGTAGAAATTACGCTTTATCTCCAGAAGAATAACGCCAGGTTGATATCAAAAGGGCAAAGATCAAATATGTGGCTGAGGATCAGCTGACCATCACGGGGAATGGATGCCCTGATTAGGAATTGTCTTCCAGTCTCTGCTGCCATTTACGAGCCAGTCAATCTGTCCCCCAGACTACTAGCGGGCCCACATCTGTAGTCCCTTATCATGCGTTCTTATCAAGCTGCGGCCGTGCACCAGACGCCGCGGGGGTGGAGATGGTTCAAAGTTCAAACCGGGCCGGGCATCGGTGAAGAAGGCCGTTCACGCAGTGGCGTCGAAGTATAGACAATAAACCCCTTCCGGATTGGTCGGATTATCTCAAATGTCTCAAGGGGAACGTCAGGAAGAAAACGGCAATATTATGACGATGTTGTGGTCTCCGTGCTCAGGGCCCAGTCTATGAGAAGGACAGCTTTGTGGGCTCATGGCTTGAGAACCACTGTCTGGAAATTTCAATAACAATTCCAAGGACTTCCGGTGGGAGAACGAAGTATGCACACGGTCCCGTCTATCGGTCCAGCTATTCTAGCCGAAACTGTCGGTTATCATATAAAGCTTTTCCTAATAATAAGCGCAACTTATACAGCTGGTGTACACTTTCGGGGGTTCGTGTGAGAATCAACATTACCTGAGACTGGTTCCCAAGAATAGAGTCACAAACTTGCGCCACCGATCGCATATTGCTGAAGTCTAGGTAACGGCAAGAATTGTTGCTTTCGGGCGCGATAAAGTAATTGAACGCGATGACTTACAATGATATTTCTTTCCAAGCTTCGATGATGGGTGCCGAAGGTGCAGCTAAAAGTCACTATTGGAGGGTTTCCTGGAAGCATAATCAGTTCCTATTGCGGAATCGTAGTGTGCGACAATCCGAGCCATTAGATATTCGTAAGGCCGAACACATCTGTCTCATCCTGGTAGTGTCAATAATAAGTTATATCGCAAGTAACAAGGCAATGGACTAACCATGGCCAGATCCTCGGGACTGCGATGTTTCTCTATCCCTCTTTGCCTATGTTTATATCGTTGTTATTTTCTTTAGATAATGCAGCCGGATGTTGCCACAGGATGTCGCTCTTTCGTAAACATCACTTGACTTTGTTGATGGGAAATCTCCCAATCTATGAAGTGCTGAAGACGATTTCATATGATTTTCAAACTGCTAACTTGAGTCAATGGCTGACGTTCAAACAAGTATAAAAACCAGGAAGGGTAACTAGGACTTTGGTATGGGGCCTGTGTTAAACCTATGAACCGTCATTAGCGTCCATACGGCACCGACGGACCGAACGAAGCACCAGTTCCGGAGCAGGAAACCACTCGCTGCTTGCTTCTTAAGGTGGTTATTAGTACACCCTGGGTGGCCGAAGATGTACTCTGGACATTGAACCGCTCATGTGACCGGACGTAAGCCTGATCTGCCTGCGAAGGCACTAAGCTCCGACGGGAAGTTGGAAAGAGAGCACCATTGCGCTTAACGCTCAAGCATATATCAATGGCAGTGGTCGTCGATAAGAAGGACTTTCTCGAGACAGGGAAGTGTCCCTCAACAGGCGTTGACAGCAAATAGTCAGATGCGACTCAACAAGCCAATGTCATTCTTCACTCAATGCCTCTCATTCATTGCTGCATACAACTTTCAAGGCCTGGGGGTACAACAGATACATACATCCTTTCCCGGCAGGCACATTCACAGAATGTCCAATTGTATGTACAAAAATAGTGCAAGCACTACAGCATCTGTACAGTTCCTCCCATACGTTGCGTTATGTCTCATTACCATCACCTATATAGCTGCAGGCGAGCCAGCGCGTCAAACCGTACGATCTGACTGCTCTTGAGTCGTTTTCCAATTCGGCCTAAAAGGTTGGATGAGCTCAGCCCAGAACCCAATAGGGGGATCGTTGATTTTGGCAGCCTCTTCATATGCAGTGATATCAGGGGCATCTAAGGTGAGATCCAGTTCATCCGGGCGCAATAGCCGAGTGCGTTTGAACAATTTCCATCCGGCAAACGTGATGATTCCAAATAGGAGCATCGTATAATGCGTGAAAAAGGTCGTCACATTCCAGGGGGTGAAGCTTGTGT